TTTAGGGTCAGGTAGGTACCTGTGAGGTTAGCCTTAGGGTTTGTGGTCAGGGTTAGGCTGTAGAGATGTAATGGAAGTCAATGGAATGTCCCCAAATGGATAGCTGTGCAAACGTGTGCGTGTGGCCTTGTTTATGCTACTTGGTAGGGACGATTTTTCAGGAAAACACAGTCTCGTGGGGACCAAAGCCCGGTCCCCACGACTTCAGAGGCTGATTTTGGGTGTGGGGTTAAGGTTTAGGACAGTTTTAGGGTAAATGGTCAGGGTTAGGCTATAAAATCTAAAAAATGAATGTAAGTCAATGGAAGGTCCCCTCGGGGTTTAAGAACAAACGTGTGTGTGTCTCCTGACCTCTTCACCTCCTTGCGGTTGAGCAGCAGAAGCTCCTGGTTGTGCTGAAGGAGGTGGTGGTACTGCGCAGTGAAGGACCTGAACTGTTGGATACTCACCAGCAGCAGATAGTAGTCTGGGTGATCTGTATCTGTTTGTCTAAGAAGCCCCTTTAACACATGAATGTACTCATTGATTTGAATCAAAACAGACTTCTTTGTATTAAATTTGATTAATTCTTCCACAGCTGTGCTGGTGTCACCTGAAGCAGCAGCAGGTAATCTGGGATCCTCTGCACGGGCTGAAGGAGCAGCGTGTAAAGGGATGGTTTGGATTCATCCCCGATGATGTCGCTCTGACGTCAGCAACCAATCAGAGCACAGATGGGACAGATGGCGAAAACAAATTGGTACAAATGTCATCTTTATAAAAGGGTCTTTAAATCACACAGATGCTGGTGTTGCAAATTGAAATCACTTTTTTTTAGATCCTTTTATTCAATCTTACCTCCAGAAAGACTGAAGTCTTCATGGAGCTAGAAGCAAGCAGATTGATGACTGACAGGCAGTCTGGAAGCTCCTTCAGGTAGGAAACATAGAAGTCCAGGAAATCACTCTGAAACATGACATAGAAGATGCTGGCTTGATTTAATCACAGTTTATGTCTGTTTTTATTTGTTTATATCGGTCAAAATTGAGCTTAGACAGGTTGCTAAATTTTCTTTTGAAACCAGAGATTAAGTAGAACCCACTTTTTAAATGCTGTGTTTACAGTAGTTTTGTGTTCAGTAAAGCAACAAATTGTTAAAGCAGGTATAGAACCATAGAACTCGGGGGGGAAAAGATATGTATTTTTGTTCTGTGGCCTTAATCGTTTTCTGTAGGTTGGTTATCAAAATTCAAATGGCATGTCAACACAGAAGCTGACCAAATGTAAAGGCACCACTGATCCTTTGCAACAATCTAAAAATATCTATGTTATTAAATAAAAGAATAAAGCCTGTATCCCTACATTATATTCCAGTTTTGAATGTGTTTCTAGTGATTAACTCAGAGTGAAATGTTTTTAAAACGTTCATTAAATCCCAAGGCTCTGTTTGTAAAATCTGCTGCTTTCTTTCATCAGAGCTGTTAGGATTAAACAGGATTTTACGGCACATGAATCTATGTGAGTCCACACATGAGCTGATCCTACACCAAACAGATCCTTACTTCTTTGCTGGTGAGCTTCATGAAAATATCTCCCATGATGCCTTGCCACTGGAGCTTGAGCACACGTTCCTGCAGAGTGTGGAGGAGCTCGAGGTGCTGCTGGATGAGAAACCTTAAAGAGCTGGGGAACGGACTGAAAACAATAAGATGAGAACAGAACCCCGGATATTAAATTTGTGGAAAACACACACAATCATACAAACATCTTTTTGCAGAAGCTTGTGCCGGTTCACTTAAATTCAGTCATTATTTTTTTAAAGGTGACTGAGTTCAGCTGTAGTTCGGTTTGACTTTAGCTTTTTTTCTCATTGGTAACACGTGTGCTGCAGTGATTCTATTACCAAGCTGTGTCTCCCTTTCACTGGTGTTTATACCTTCTTTTATTTGATTTATCTATTTCCTGTTGTCCCCTCAACATTAGCTTTTAAATTAGCTCAGAGGCCAATTTAGAGTTAGAAATCTGTGACGGTTGTCTGGGTCATTTTGATAATCTATCTTCATTGTTGCTTTAAAATAACCTTTTTGCAGAGGAAACATTTGTTCCTTATTCATTAACCGTTACATACAGACAGATTTTGTGTGTTCATGTCTTTGTGTTACCGTTTGTCTTTGGGCGTCAGAGCCTCTGATCCGTTGAAGGAGATGTTGGCCTTCAGTAGCAGAGACAGATGGGACACGTAGACTCTCTCTGACTCCAGCAGCTCCAGCGCTGCTTTTTGTCTCTTATCTGTGCACAGAATTATCACAACATACAATAAATGCTTAGCTGTAATTATATTTGTGTGCTCTTTGTAATATTTAGATGTTTAGTTTTGTTAAAATAAGACAAAGATGATTATATGAAATGGTTCAGCAAAAGCTTTAGTTTTATGTTTGCCATGCATTACATGGGCGTTTTTGCATACATATACATAAAATGTTGGTTATATATAGTTTAAATAAAGGTTTTGCATTCTTTGAAGGAATGCCACCTTAAATGCCAGAATTTTAAATGAAGATCATACGTACTGTATATTGAGAAATCAGTTTGGAAAACTCCCCTGCTTTTGCCTTTCAGCAGCAGGGAATAAATATTAAATTAACTATTCTTCTCTCCTGGCTTCAAGTCTTTACACAGCATGAACTTGTTACAGTTAGGAGTTTCCTTGAATTCTTAACATGTAAAGGTGTAGAAGTTGTAAAGGCCATGCTGTTTGTTTCAAGAGCTTTTCTTACTGTTTTCAGTCTGATTGTTGGAGATTTCGGCCTCAAATCCGTTGCTGCTCTTCTCGCCCAATGCAGGAGGTTTCTGCTGCTGCGGCTGAGCCTCCTGCTCGGAGGTGGAAGCTGCGACATGCGGACCAGACGGGCGATTTCGAGTCTTATATTTGAATACTAGGGCTTGCCATATTAAGATGCCAGGATGTGATTATGACAGGCACAGACTCACTTTGTGTGGACGTATTGCTCCTCTGTGGAGATGCGCTGTGCTGGTAAATGCTGAGATCTGATTGGCTGGGAGGACAGATGTGTTCATCCTCCGGTGGTGTTAGCGCGTCAGCACTGGAGCTTCTTCTTCTGCTGAACCAAGAAACAGAAAAAAATATATATAATACTGTCAGGTTCTGTCTTAAATGACAACAGGGTTTAAAAACAAACATCTCTGTAAAGTTCAACATAGTGGGCTCAACAGATTCTAAGGACCCTCAGAATAAATCCCTAAAGCAGAATGATCGGTGACGAAGAGACTGTCGCAACCATACCTGTGTGGAACTGAAATGATATCTTTGTTGCTTTCAAACTGCAGCAGCTCCGTCCTCTTCTGCACCTCTGCCTGTCTGCTGGAAACATCCTCAATATGGAACAAAGCTACATTCAGTTCTTCCTGCAATCAGATTTTATCAGGCGATGGCATCAGTTCAATTAACTGCTTAGGTTGTGTCCTGTATGAAGAACCCCCCCAAAAAAGTTGCACAACCTTACGACCTCAAATGATCAAATCAGTAATAAAAAAAACTAAACATCACAATAATAATAGACGGTCACCATGAAAGAAAACAGATAAAAGAAAACGGATGGGTGTTTGCAGCACCTTGAATGAGTTGAGCGAGTTCTTCAGGCCCATTATCTTATCGTCCACATCGGTCTGATGGGCTTGCAGCTTCTCCTCCAGGTCGCGGTCCCTCTGGCGGAGCTCGCTGAGATCAGTCAGAGCCGCGTGGAGCCCCTCGCGCAGCTCCACCAACAGGCCCTGCAGCTGCAGGACAAAAAGTTTTAGATTTAACTTTATTGTGTTCAGGTTTTGTTTTTCCTGTGATTGGTCTACTTTTGATCATTTAGATTTAACTCATTCAGTGGATTGTCACCTTTTTTTAAATTATCTTCATTTCTTACATGAAGAAAATCACTGAACGGTTTATCCTCCTCCTGCACTTTCATTCTTAGGTTTCTCATACATTGCTGATTGAATTTATTCAGCGGGGATAACCAGATCAGCTCATGTGAACATCACAGCTTCTTATTGCTCCGCCTCTGTGTTGTTTTTCCTTAAAGTCATGTGAAAAGCATCAGGCAGGAGACTCAATAGAGGTCCTGTGAAGTTTAAATATTCTTTAAAAATGAATGTGTATTTGTTTGTGGTGGGAAAGATCAGCTTATGCTGATGTAATTCTGTTCTGCTTAGAATTAAATTGGAATTTATTTCATTTTTTTAGCACATCTAGGGAAGAAAATCAGATCAACAATGGGCGTTTCTGAGTGAAGAGCCATAAGGCAAGGCTGACTGTTGACTTTTCTGCAACTCCTGACTTCAATGTTTGCTTTGTGCGCTCAAAAGGTCACGTTTGATGTGGTCCAAAGTCAGAAATGCTTTTTGCCGCAGGCTCAAGTTGGAGCAACAGTTGCACAAAGCCAGAAATTATTCAAAGTTTTCTTGTATAAAGACTGACATAAGAGTTCTTGGTAAATGTTGAGTGATTTTATTCAAATGGAGTCTTTATTCAGCTTTACAGCTATGTCTGATTTGGTTCAGAAAATTATATTTCATGAAGTAATTACAAGCTTAGCAAAATTATTGTTTTTTTTTTTACCTGAGTAATCTCCAGAGGAGGTTCCTCCACATTTACTTTGGTATCTGAAGGGAAAAAAAACAGCTTAGTTAGGTGAAGAATATCCAAAATCTACTGGCAATAGGTTAAAATTTTATCAAAGCCAATATCTGAATAATTAGCAGGTATTGATTGTAGACATTCCAAAAGTTGCAGCACGAGTCTGAAAAATGAAGCCAATATAAAAAGAAAAGCAGCTCAAGTTTAAGACCTTTAATAGCCACAAGCTCAGAAGTCAATAGGATGAAAGTGAACATCTTACTGAAGCTGAATCTCAAGTTTGAAAAGTTGGAAAGTTTCTCATGAGCTCAGAGATAAAACTGTTTATCTCCTCTGATAGTTTCAGTCAAACAAAACAAACCCAAATAACTGCACAACATATCAGTCATCCACGAGCTGAGTAAACGTTTGTTGTGACTCCGTGTTCCGATCAGGCAGACTGATGTGTTCAGCAGCCTCTCAGCACATTTGTTTGCACACATACAACAGGATAGGAACCCAGACCTTCAGTTTAGGAAATAACTACAAAAATATATTAAAAAATGGCATTGTGTAAAAGTGTAGAGATTTAATAATTTCTTTCACGCCTGTGTCCTTTTTTTGAAGAGTTGAAGTCTTAACAAAAAAAAAAATATTTAAACCCCTTTCATTTGGCTAGCCGTTAGCCTAGCCTGCACAAAGACTTCTACTCTTCTCTCCTTTGTGCTTTATGACTGTCACAGCTGATAAAAACTGTTTAATAATAAGCAAAACACGACTTCATAAATGACCAGATTGTCTCATTAAATAAGGAATCGTCAGCATAACTGTCATCAAAATCCCATTCAGTGATCAGTTTGTGTTAAACCTCCGTCTTGTCCCATATTTTCCTAACAGAGCACTTGGTTCTCAGACTGCAGGTTTACTTGGGGTTCCTCGAGTTTCTAAAAGCAGAACGGGAGGCAGAGCTTTCACTTCTCAAGCTCCTCTCTTGTGGAACCAACTTCCAGTTTCTGCCTGTGAGGTTGACACTGTCTACTTTTAGGACTAGACTTTTTTGTATTGGAAATTATTGCTATGAAGAGAGATAGGGTGAGAAGCTCGGACATCCGGGAGGGACTCAGAGTAGAGCCGCTGCTCCTCCACGTCGAGAGGAGCCAGTTGAGGTGGCTCGGGCATCTGGTAAGGATGCCTCCTGGACGCCTCCCTGGTGAGGTGTTCCGGGCACATCGCACTGGGAGGAGGCCCTGAGGAAGACCCAGGACACGCTGGAGAGACTCTCAGCTGGCCTGGGAACGCCTTGGGATTCCCCCAGAGGAGCTGGCCTCAGCTGGGGAGAGGGAAGTCTGGGTTTCTCTGCTTAGGCTGCTGCCCCCGGGACCCGACCCCAGATAAGAGGAAGAAAACAGACAGATGGACGGATGGATGGATGGATGGATGGATGGATGGATGGATGAATATGTTTTTTCTTGACTTTCTCCCCAGAGAAATGACACCTGGACCAGTCAATCTGTGTTTGTCTTTCCTTTCCCCTCAAACCCAGCCAGTTGAAGGAAATACATGCTCACAATATTAGACTTAGATACTACCTGATAAAACAGGTTCAAGTGTTATTGTTAAAACTTTTATAAAAGCAAAATAATCTTCAATGCACTCAGCATGACTGCATGTGATATAATTACTGGCAGAAAAAAAAAACTCATGACCAACAAATTATGACCCAAAGGTTGAAGTCGGGACAAGCTAAGTTTGCTTTAGCAGTCATGGGAAAGTGATATTTGTCAGAGAAAATTGAACAATTTCAAGCTTTAGAATTATTTTTATTAAGTTTTTACAGTCTTTTTTCTGTAGTTGCAACAATAGGACTTTTATTTGTGGTAAAGGGAGCAGCAGCACGAAGTCCTATTAAATTCATGGGCAAATTTTAGAGACTTTACAGACTTTTAAATCTGGGACATTTGGGGACAGAGCACCAGTTTGAAAAGAAGCACAATGCTTTTGCTTATCGAGGAAATGTCACTGGTCAAAGCTGCAGTCCAAACTGGAGGTGGGGTCATCTCAAATACGCATTTCACATATATTATCATGCATAATAGACACGTTCCACTGGCACAACACATTGTGTATGCATGGCGGAGCAGAAGAAAGAGCGTAACGTGTCCAACAATGACGTGTTTTCGTCTGCGAGACCAGATTTCCTGTGGCAACAAGTGTTTATCTTCATCTGCAGTTAGGAGAAAACTGGCACGACGTCACGTAACGCTACTGTCCTGCAGCGTGTTGGAACATAAAGTCTAACCCTGTTGAAAGAACAGGAGCGTGAAAGGATACGATTTCAGTTCATCCAGATGTTTAGTTGAGTTTTAGGTTGTTTTTTTTTTTTGGTGGGTCAGTGCAAACTATTCAAAGCAGATAACTAACAAGTAATGTCTTCATAACAATACAAAAATATGATTAATACAATTAAATGTCTAGAATAGATGAATTTTCATATCAGACTGCTACTATCAATATTTTTATGCCTTCTGGCATCAAAGCATTTTTTATACATGGACTTCGATATAATAGGATTAATCTAAGTCACTGGGGTCTTACAGTAATGGAAAAAAAATGTTTTCCCCCTGTAAACAAAAAACATATTGAAATAAATACTCAGTCCATTATTGCTTCGTATTTAGACATTTTCTTTCTAAAGTTGTAAGAAAGTCTGGTCTGGAGTTAGACCAGGACCAGTGAACCTGACTGAATTCGATAAAAACTTTAAAAGGATGTCAAAAAACCTTAAAGTAAAATATGAATCACTTTTTGCTTGCTTAGCTTGGTCTTGGTTGTCTCACAAGTGTCGAACCCAAGGGTGGGGAGTGTTGCTGTTTAGAATGCATTCATAATTATATTACATTTAACACGCCTCTGAAGAGTAGTGGTGAACACCCGAGGTTAGGATTTTAAACTTTAGGAAAGAACATGTTGGCATCTAGTGTTTGTGCATTACTTTAATACTAAATCAAATTCTGGTAATGGGTTGATTTTGTTCACTAAACTGCACAAAAGGCACATTAACTTATTTCATTTGAGTGAAGATTGATTTTTGAATGCGTGGTTTTTGGGAAATCGTATAAAAAGCCTGTGTTGGATTGGAAATCATCAGATGTACTGAAATCATTTTTTTCTTAGAAATGAGAAATTTAGATTTTTAGTATTAGCAACATTTCACAAAACACAGCCAGCAACTTTACCTCTAAAGCAAATGAAAAACATCTGTAAAACATATATAATGTATATGTAAAATAACTGTTGCAAAAGTCTGCAGTGGTCATTTCAATCTATAATTTCAAACATTAATATATATTTCAGGAGTCATTCATGTTTAATATTCTAAAGAATGAAATAATTACAATGATAATCAACTCTGATGAAAAATGAGTTTGAATATTTATAATAAAAAGTTCAATTTAATGTTTTTCTAATTATTTGTGTGAGCATCTCCAGTTTTACCTTCTGACAGGCTCGCCAACCTCTCCTCAGTTTTGGTTCTGTCATTCTCCATTTTCAGGTACAGTCCTGCTCCTTCAGGTCCAGTTTGGATCACGCTGTTCTGAAATTCCTGTCGAACCCCACCAAAATGATCTCAGTCCGCTCCAGCTGCAGTTGTCTCCTCTGAAGGACTTTATCATTTGCTGTGATCACTCAGTTTCTCCCAACCCGAGCATGTGAGTCCTGTGATTCCTCTTTGATACAAAAAGCTCCTTGTCTTCAGAGGAGTGGAGGGACGGAGGGTAAAGATCAGGAGTGGAGAGGGAGACGTCTGTTCATCTCCCAGGCACATACTGCAGCTATTAGATTTAAAGAGGCGTGACTGCTTCTTAATTAGGATGATTCGCACAGCTGTGTAGATATTTAAAAAAAGAACATGCTATTGCAGTGGTCTTGTAAAGTTGAAAGCTGGGTGTGTTGGAGCTAACACAGAAATGTGTCAACATGAAGTTGTGTTTTTCTTCCCCTTTTATTACATTAATTAGGCTTAAAAAGCACAATATGATAGAGTCAGAGAAATATTTCAGCTTGACTCTAGTGATTAGAAGCTTTGTAACAAAATCTCCCTTCTCCCTGCAACCAGCTGACAAAGTTCAAAGCTGGGTTTTCAGTCGTTTGTTTTGATCTTATTAAATGTGTCAGGGTTTCGGAAGATTTGGATCCAGCAGGAAAGCAGAATGACAGGAGGCGCTCGAAACAAACTAGGTTTAGTTTTAACAACATCAAAAAAAAAAAAGGTTACGCAACTAAGGAATCACAAGGTGAACCGGAAGTGGCTTGAAGAACACACAATGCTCCATTGGTGAGTGAGGCGAAGATTAGGGACTAAAAAGGACTGGGGCTGATGAGTGCAGTGGAGACACCTGGGCAGAATGACAAGTGGGAACAGGTGAGAGTGGGCGGGGCAAGAGCTGAAAAGCAGAGCTGAGGAGAAATGATTGATGTCACAAAAACTGAACAAATGAAAATAAGAATCACATGTACCACCTTTCCATCCAAAGCTCTTTACAGTAGGGGTGGACAATACTCTGTATTTTGGTACTGATCCGATACCAAGTAAATACAGGGATAGTATCACCGATACCAATACTCTTACTAGAATTGTCATGTTCATTAATTATTTTGTGGTTTTCTTTTAGATTAGTTGATAATGATGAAAGACAGGACAAAGATTTTAGGCAAACAAAATGTCTTGTTTCAAATAACTGCAACAATAATAACACAGTGTAACAGTATGAAAGTAATACACTTTTCCTTCTTACACACAATTTGTTTAAGACAAAAATCAAAACAATAAACTATATAACAAAAATCTAAATCTAACGATGTCAACAACAACAAGTACCTAACTGAGATCATGCAGTGATCAATGGACATCTGCAGCTGAATAACCAAACCAATCCAAAATGGCTGCCACAGTTTATCCACCCTAGCCAACTTGATCTCTCATCAAAATATAAAATCAGTTTAATACTCTGGCATGAAAGATGGCAGGCAGTATGCATTCATATTGTCTGTTTTGTTGTGTTTACAGGATGTGTTTTGAGTTTCTCTGGTCAGACAGCAAAGCCTGGAGACAAACCTCTCAGCTGCTGCTCCTCGTCTCAGCAACAGACCTGGGTTTGAAGGTTGCATAATTCCCACACATCATCTGATGCTGTCCTTACATGTGAGTTTGGAGAAGGAGACTGCGCTGTTCATGCCCCTCTGTACAAAAAACAAAACAAAACTTGTTTTTTTTTTTTTTTTAGCAGTAATTGAGTTCGGAGAAAAAATCCATCTGGGTGATATGCCTATGAAGCTGGAAAATCCCATTATCTCCAGTAGATCAAGATCTAAAGTTTAAAGTTCAGCGCTTATTATTCTCCTGTTTTAATTTTTTACAAATGTCCTTTAAATGTAAAATTAAATGTACAGTAAAAGGACTATATGAAATCATACAAAGCAGGGTTTATGAATGTTATGACCCATATTATGTTCAGTTTATAGATTCTTTAATAATAATTCTTGAGTCGGTGTCTCCCAGAGACCAGCCCACTGCTGCTTTGTTTGAACTAATTGTATATTTTGTAGACTCATTTGTTTTAAGAGTCTGAGGAGAGATGACAGTGTGGGAGGTTTGGTTTTAGTTGGCAGAAGATTTTTTTATTATTATTATTTATTATCTTACATGTGGTAACTGGAGAGGGTGACATGTTTGTAGAGTGGTTTGCCTTAACAATTAGCCTTGTGTGGATTGTTGGTCACAATAATTTTCCAGGGGGGAGAAAATTGTTTCTGATTGGAGGGACCCTCTTAAACTTATTGGTGTTTTATATTTATTTATTTATTTATTTATTTATTTATTTATT